AGTACCACCGGGGTCTTCGGGCGCTCGCCTTTTATACCTGTACCCCTCTTTTCCCCCACCCCTATCTCACTACCCTTGAAAACACTTCACCACCCTCTCTCTCGCTTGTTCCACCAACCCCTCCCCTCTTCCCCCTCGATCGCCTCTCTTCCTACACCCGTCACTTTTCCATCCCAGGTGTCTGTCCGTCTCTCTCTCTCTCTCTCTCTCTCTCTCTCTCTCTCTCTCTCTCTCTCTCTCTCTCTCATTGTACGTGTACGTATTTCACGACGGCCATTCCATTCGACTCAGTGCTCGTCATCTTTGACTTTAACCTCTCGGCGTGTACGGGTTATACAGGGCACTTCGGATGTGCTCGACTGGTACTCTCTCTTTTTTTTTTAAGGAAAAAAAAAACTTATCCTACACAATCGCTCCACGTCTCTTGGGCATGGCTGGGTCTCTTTGGTCGGGTCTTATTAAATTTTTCGAAAATGGAAATCTCATGGGAATTTCACGTTTTTTCACTATTCCCCCTCTGCTCGCAGCGTCACGGTACCGCGCGGTAGCGATTCACGGGTCTTTTAAGACAACGCACTGGGGGCAATCCGAACGACCTGAGCTTGCTCGCGTCCCATGTCAATGACCATATAGAGCAATTGTGTCTGAGTATGTTTTTGGTAAGGTCCACGTGGTCGTTCTTACGATTGGCAGCACCTAAGAGGCTATACTGGGTTGATCGATTCGCGTGTACAGGTATACATATACAGAAAAAAAGGATGTCATCGCGAAGTGACGTCACGGTTCGGGGCGAAATTTCTAAGGAGCTAATTTTTGTCTTCCTTTTCCTTTTTTTTTGTCACGGTAAACCTAGAGGCAACGTTGGCAGCTCTGGAGAATATCGACAGCTGCACCGAGCACGGATATGGACATAATATATTCTATAACGTGTATATATATATACAGAGTTGTACATACAGTAGAAACGCCACCACCTGAAGTTAGCGCGCCCATTTCAGTCTTATGGTAAAACCATGTTCGGGTGATACGTTCGGGTTACGTAACCTGGTATTTACTTAAGGATTTTTTTCTATTTCTTTTTTTTTTTTTTTTCTTATACTCGTACTTCGTTAATACACCAAAGAAATATATGTTCCGTATGTTTTCCTTAATTCGCCTATATTGGTTATCCGTTAGAATTCTTATTGACGTACGTTTGCGCTAACCACGTGGCTTTTATTTTGTCGTAAGATGTAATGTAAACATTGTCAAAGTGACGTTTACGTATCCGTATTAGCTGGTTCACCTTATGAGCTTTGAGCCGCGAACTATGAAATTATCGTTGCGAAGAGAGAGATAGATGCCTTCGTCGTAGGTACGCGTGTGACGATCTAATCTGATTACTTTGTTTGGTTTCAGGGTAGCGGAGGAAGCAGTGGGGCTGCGGGAGGGCTCAAGTTCACGGTGGCTGACACTTGCGAGAGAATCAAAGAAGAATTCAATTTCATCCAGCAACAGTACCACTCGTGAGTCTCGTTCTCTCTCTCTCTCTCTCTCTCTCTCTCTCTCTCTCTCTCTCTCTCTCTCTCTCTCTCTCTCTCTCTCTCTCTCACCCTCTCACTCTCATTCTATTTATTGACGTCTATCCGTTGTCTCAGTTCCGCGACGTCTGTGTCTTCTCTTTGTTTATCTTTTTCTCTCCCTCCCCACCACGGATCGAGCAGCCTCGAAAGAATTGCTCGTGGCAGGAGGAAAAACATTTGGGAATTGTGAATTTTTGGATAAAAGTGTGTGTTTGTGTGGGGGGGGGGGGGAAGACAAGAAAAAGATAAAAAAAGAGATAGGACGAAAGAGAGAAGGAAAGATAGATTGACAGACTGACAGATAAACGGGCAGGCGACGTTACCGACTTGGACGCCATCTTTCTTTTTTTTCTCTCTCTCTCTTATCGACGACTCTCCTCCTTATCGCTCGTTACCTTTACTTTCAGGCTGAAACTCGAGTGCGAAAAGCTGGCTAGCGAAAAGACTGAGATGCAGAGGCATTACGTTATGGTAAGAGACTTTGTAAGTTCTGCTTTTTTGTTTTCCTTTCAGACAGTTTCCACAGTTTTTGTTTTTTTTTTTTCTTTTCACTCTGTTTGCCTTCCACGCTCGACCCTCAGTCAGGGCTGCTTGCACGCTACGACGAATCGAAGTTTTCGTCATCGCGCTTCTTCGTTCCTTCTGTTTGTAAATTACAAGGCAATAGAAAAACTTGGCTTGGGCCTAACGTCAATCAACCCGTATCGCCAATCGAGCGTATACGGTGTACTGGGAGCCAAGTGGCCCATTGTGTACTCAAACTTTTAATTGTTAATTTGACAGTAACACATTTGTATGGTTGCGCGGGTAAGATCGATGTGTATTTGATGGAGGGGCCAACTTCGTGGTTATTGGTTAGCTAAAGAGTCACCCGACTGGTAGCCCGTCGTAACTCGACTAAAACGTTTCTGTGACCACGTGTCACGCATGGCTGAAAACAGGAGTAACCCTATAGTCGGTACAGGATAATTCTATTGTCGTGCCACGGCGCAACGGGTGACACGACTGAAAATTATCGTTTCGCACTGTAACCTGCAAACCGCAAGTGTATTTCGAGTTATCGGTAGCTTCTCGAAATGGTTTTGTACGATACTCGTGAAAATTTACGCCTCGCCGGTAAACGTACAGTCGACTCACGTTTAAAACGTTCGAGCTAACGGATATATCAACGATGGCACGTTACGCCGTACGCGGGAGACTTTATACAATTTCCAGTCTAGCCCGTGGAATTTCGACGGGCCCGAGTCTCTTCGTGGCGCAGTGCCTCCCGGAGTCCTCGCGAGTCGCTCGTGCAGGCGTCGCGCGCGCCCGTCCGGAAATTGAATGCCCTGGAATGAAATATCGGTGCCGCGCGACTACCGTCGTTTGTTCGAAAACGATCCCCGCTATGAATTCTCCTCGCTCCACCACCCCCCCCCACCCCTCCGTCCTGCGAAAAGTCATTTATGCAGTTTCGCAAAAAAAAATAACCCTCGAAACTCCCACCCGTCGACGGTACAACGGACTACAGATTAAATTCGTAAGTCACCTACGTTAAATCCATATCAGCCGTATCTCTGATATCTACCGGGTGTACCGGGAGTCCGAGAATCGTAAAAGTATCGACAGACCGCGCCAAACTGTCTCGACATGCATATTACACCGCCTGGGTATAATGAATATATATATATATATATATGTCCACGTGCACAGGTGGCGCTAGCGTCTGTGTACACGGCATAAGTATATCCGATGAACGACGCCGACTCCTAAGACGCTACCCTTACGCCCCGTTCACAGTGTGTACATCCCTGTAAACTGCTACACTGATGTGACACCGAGCAACCTGGGTCGAGTAAAATGGGGGAAAGTGGTCGGGCGGGTGGGTGGTGGT